GGAAAATTCAAACGCCAATCGAAAGATCTCATCTCGAACAACTAAAAACATGTACCTAATTTAAAGTTTGAGCCTTGAGGTCAAGGTCAAGGTCAGGTCAAGGGTACAAATTGCAAGTTTCTACAGTATCGGCCTTGCACCGTAGTTGCCGAAGAATGGACTGAGACTGATTGCCCAAAACGTGTTCTTAGGCTATCAAGACAATATTCGCTGCATAAAATATCATTCAGAGGTCAAGGTCAAGGTCAGGTCAGGTCAGGTCAGGTCACCAAAAACAAAATATAGAAAAGGGCATGTGCGACACATGCTTTATGGGTCATTTTATTCATACAATTCAATGGGCACACTCAATAGGTGATATGGACCACATCTGGATGAATTTTAGGTCGAGGTCAGGTCAAGGTCAGGTCAAGTGAGGTCAAATTTTGAAGTTGGTTGTTAAGGCCTAAAAAGGTGTCTATCTGATGCAGTTTTTCACGGCAAATCGAATGGTGCTATTTTTGTTTCCGTACGAGGTCTAGAACTTAAAAAAAAAATCATTTTTCAAAATTTGTGTGTGTCGTGACGTCATGAAATTTTTAATAACTCCCAAATTTTTGAACCGATTCTTCTAAAAATTGGTATGTAGGTGCACATAGACCACATCTCTGACATATATTCCGGTTTTTTTTATACACTCAAAATTTTTGATTTTATAATTATTTTCCCAAAAAAGTCAGTTTTTTGAAAAAAGTTTGGCCAAAATCCAAAATTTTCAAAAAACCGAGATAGCCATTTGATAGACAAAGTAGAATTACGTATAACGCTTTTTGTTACGTCTTGATTCCTTTAAAAATGAAGATGTTAGCGGCGTTTGAACTTTTGCCGTTTTTGAGGCGAAAATGGCGAACATGACGTCACTAAAACGTCAATTTCTAAAAAATTTCCGACGGATTTCGCTCAAATTTTCAGGGAACGTGTCAAAGTGATGTAAGAAAAGGTACTGAAAGTTTGGCGGCGCTGCGCGCCGCCGTTTTTGAGTTATCGCAAAAATTCGCGAGGGTGGGTAAAATTTACCCCCCCCCCCAGCCCCGCTCGGGTTAAGTGGGACAGAGTAATCAGTCACAAAGCAACATGCTTGTCATGCTTGCACTATCTCTTTGTGAGTGCCATCAGTACCAAGTCTGTGTACTTGACGAGCGGATAAGATAATACAGGAAGCAAGTTCCGGCACAAACAAAGGCAGACAGAAAAAAAAAATGCACCACACTGGGAAAAGATCCCAGTAGCTGTTGCCGTCGCACGGAGTTCACTACAAGAGCACGAAGTGGCACACAGTCCACACACCACATTGCACCAGCACGCGGTGCATCGCGTGACAAACCAGCCACCACCGCACCGCGTGCAATGTTGCGCAACAGGGACGAAATCGGTGTGTTTTCGAGCCGTGGCACTCGCTGCAACTGGCTGGGAGAGGAAATGATCCTTGACAGTGGCGGACCCAATGCAGGATATGTCTGTGCGACGAGGGGTGGGGTGAAAAATGCCATCGAGTTGAGGCTCGTGACTTAGTATATGTGATCAATTAACGGCTAACTTAAGTCCACACTCACAGCACAAGTGGCTCACTGTTGGATCATTGCAACTGTGGCTTTCCGTTTTTTTTTTCATGCAACAAAACACTGTTAAATTCCAATCGTTGTCAAAATGTGGATGATTTCAAGCTTAAAAGGTATGCATAAGAGTGCATACCATAAGCATGCCATTCTTACACCCTTCCAACATCAGTCACAACTCACAAAAGTCACAACTAACAAACAAGGGATGAATTGTAGAATGTATTATGTAATCGATCCTTCGGGCCCTGTTGTTTTCATTTGATTCGTGTTTCAGAAAGAGCATACTGATTGAAGCATCGAATAAAACCACAGCCGATAAATAAAACGACAGCCAGCCGCAAGAAGTTTTGTTTCCGCTTGAACAAGCGTCAAAGCAGCCAATGAGTTATCCACCAGATCTCGGCCACAATAAATAGCACTAAAATCTGCGAGTCGCGCGTCCCAAACGATGTGTCAGCTGCTTCTTTCTTTCTTCATCATCGAACACGGTGTTCGACAGTCAGCAAGATAAAAGGATGTTCCGGAGCCAGCTGAAATCAAAGTCCATTGCTTGTGCAGCAAGATCTGCAGACAATTTGCAGAATTTCGTGGTGTTCAGATGCATACAAGTTAAATTTTATGTTAATATGCTTGCATCTGCGGCCGGTCCATCTTTTTCGTAATCTGAAAGAGTTGAGCTCCCGCAGCTGTTGGACAGACGCGGCCGGCAGCTCTCAGAAGTCGGATCGTTTCTCACGGTGACGTTTTCCGGAATTGGGAGCCTGTAACCTCATTCATCATTCATCAAACATTAAATGTTGGAGTAAAGAGTGAAACATATCGGTGGTATTAACTGGTTACGGTCTACGGATCATCACATAAATTGTAAAGAGCCGGCGCTCAAGATGCAATCACAATTTATAAGTTATAACAAAGGGTAAGAACTTTCCGTTTCGAATCGCATAAAAGCCAATTTCTTTACCCACTCCTCATTTGAGGTATCTTTCCCAAAAAGTCCCAACCACGGCACACCTCTCCTCGTGATGACCTTGCCCCTGTGTCTCCTCACGGCTCACGACATGTCCCTGCCCCCGCCCGGACGCGGCGGGCCGGCCGCTGCGTCTCTAAGCGCCGCGTCTGTGGCCGCCGCCCGGTCTGACCTTGTGCTCCGTTCCCATCCACCAGCTAGGATCGATTCTCCGTCACCAGAGTCGTCGTCGAGCGGAGGTGAGTCCTCGATCCCCTCACCGGGACCGGAGTCACCGGCCCTCCCTCCTGACCCACCACCCCCTCCCACCGACCCCTTCCGACCGCCTGTTGAGCGAGAGAGGGCACGGCGTGACACGTGTTAACAGCCGGGCCAAATGTCGAAACAGCGGCCAGCCGGCCGACGCATTGCTTAATTGATAACCTTCCGTCGGCGTGAGGAGCTCGAGTGGTGCGCTGCTGCCACCTGACGGCAAAAGAGAGAAGTAATAGTTCACTTAGTGACTACGCCACTGTATGCAACCATGCTCGTCGGAAGGGGCGCAAGGCGCCTCTTCCGTGAATGGGATATTATGAAAATTATGTTATAAGTCCATCGACCTGTTCAGTAATTATTGCTCTAGCTCCCATTTCTACTGGACCACCTCAGCTAGCTCCATCATAGTTCAACTATGCTGGCTTAGCCTAGCAAGCTCAACTGAGGCCTGAGCCACCCCGGTAAGTTTAGCTCAGGCATCACAATAGTTCAGGAAGCTCAGCTCAGAAAACTCAGCTCAAGTAGCACGCTCGCTGATATTAAAAAAAAAAAATCCAGCCAGAAGATGCCAACAGCCTAATGTAGGAGCTGCCGTTAAAACCGTGCAACAGCTCGTCTATAGCAGTGTCCAAGAGAGGAAACATTAGTACAAGCTTTCGCCACCAGAGGCCTGGAACCGTTCAATGGTAAGCTCTTCCTCCGCCTCTTTCTTACTTTAGCTCTCATCCCCCGGTTTTGCTGGTAAGCACCATGCATAATACCTACTCTAACGTGGACTAGAAGGCATTTACATTTTGTTCGCTTGCTTGCTTTGTTGAGTTAGTCTCTTCGGGTATGATAATATATTTCAGGTCCATGGGAGGAGATGAATAGGATGAGACATGTTGGGCTTTCTCGGTCTCCGACTGGTAGGTAGGTAGGTAGGCACTCTATAGTGTGTGATCCATTCCGTTTGAGCAGGACTGTCCCCGACCCCGGACTTTGGCCATGTATGCTTGTGTTTGTGCATAATAGCGCTTGGAATCTGTGGAGTTACGAGGTCCTCCGTTCCGTCGTTTCCGTCGTCAGGATAGTAAAATCCTTCTTCTCCGTGCTTCCACCCCTTGTTCCGGGATGGACGGGCTATTTTATCCTATGCAACCCACCCCATCGGAGCAGGCGCGCAGTCGGGTGCGGTAATCGTCGGGGGGGGGGGGGGGGGACTGCGTGGCGTGTCCTCTGGACGGGCTCAGCCCCGAAGGGTCACCCGGGTGCCTGCCCAGATATCTTTGTCTCCCCCTAATTCCTATCGTCCTTCCGGCTCTGAAATCGTCTTGTTTGACCGAAGGAGCCTAGCCCCACAAAACAAACAGAAGAGCTAAGTGGTACCTAGTGCACTTAGCGCAGCAACTTAGAATGTATAGCATTCTGGTGATCCTACGTAGCCTATTGTCGCTAAGCGAAAGTCAGAGACCATGAATCTGTAAGAAAACACTTGAAGAATTGATTGCGATCGAATTAGGTGTATTTCCACATGGTCAGATGAGCTTCAGCCAGCTTTCACAGCTGCTGCACGCAAATTTTCATCAACGCATAATGCAGTTTCTGCGAGACCGAGTAAGATCGCATATTTATACGCACATTACCATAACATAAATGCAGGTACCATGGATGAGACAATACTCATCCATGCTTATAACAATAAACACTAAACAGTTATGATGAACACACTCAGCAATACATATTAAGCACATATAATACTCTGTGTCGATTATGCACATCAAGCAGCATTAAAAGCTAAGACAAGTTAAACAGTACATAGGAGCATATGTAATATAAACGTACCTGAACGTCTCGATAATTTTACACGGCAGTAAACACAACTGCATGGCATCTCAGGACTGGCATGACTTTGGCAGCTGACAATCTCTAACCCTCACAAGTCACATCGAATTAATTAGGTACTTGTTTTAGGGGCACTTTCAGACAGTCTACTTCGACTCTACGAGTATTTCACTTGTTCCTGTTGTCAGGTCATGTAATTGCCTTTATAACATTGCGCGTAGCTATAGATACCTACCAAAAACCTACGCCTTTGGCACACTTTTCTAATAGTTGTCCCAGCGGCAAAAAAAGCCTGATGACTGTCATTCTAAATATGAATGTCAAATGGGACGGTTGTATCCGTTCTGATTAGTTACGATAGATACTCTGGTCCCTCTAACCGCTACCGAACTCGGTCGCCAGCTAAAATCCCCTCAGGTGATCACATCTGACCCTTTCTACTCCACCTTATCCAATCACAACTACATATATCTCGTGGTTGACATCTCTGGTCTCTGTTTAACGGCTCAGACCTCAACATCTTCCCACATCTACCCTGCGGTTCCGGCTTCTTCCCGGATGAATCGTTCAGAGCCAACAATTTGTCATGATGCCCAACCCCTTTTTCGTGATACCAGGAAGGCTCCTCTTTAGCAAGATTTATCTCGCAGATAACCACCTTCACGGTTTTGACATTATTTATCCCTTCTTCTCTCTCTCTTTCTCTTCTTTATCGTCAGCCACACAGGCCTGGCGCTCATTATCTCCAAACCAACAATGTCCTTTCCATTCTCCTGCTACCCCGAGGGGTAGCAGGAGTCATCTCCCCGTCATCTCCAAGTCAGCAGAGTTCACTGCTGTTTCTCTCCATTTCCTCAGCTACCCGGATCAGCCGTCCTCCTCCTCCACACCAACAGGCTCTGGTTGGGCGCTGGCTGCGTATCTGACTCCAGCCGCAGGCCACAGCTCTCGGCGTGTTCGCACAGCTCACTGACGTCCCGCAGTCCCCAGGACGGGTTCTCCTGCTGGAGACGCTGCTGGAAGGTCTCCAGATTGGCTGGAATTTTTCCTTCCCGCTGGAAGGGTCCGTAGAGTAGCAGCGCTCCACCGGGCCTCAGCCAGCGCCCGGCACCTGTCAGCAGCCCTCGCCAGCTCTCTGGAGGCGCCACGTGCGTCATGTTGATGCACAGCACCGCGTCCAGCCAGCCGGGGACGTGCGCGCGCGTCCGGCACGCCTCGCAGCGCGCCGTGCGGTCCGGAGAACACGTGCGGCACGTGTCGCCCGGCACGGGCCACGTATCTGGCTCGGCGGCGTCGGCGACACGAGGAGGACACACGTTGCTTAGCGGCTCGTCGGCCAGACGTTTCCGAAGAGTAGCCAGCATGTGACTGTTTACGTCAGAAGGGTGGAAGGTCAGCTCCGGCAGGCCGGCGGCCAGGTGGGTCACGTGCTGACCGGTGCCCGAGGCGATCTCGAGCACGTGACCGCCGGAGGGCAGGCTCAGCTGACGGACGGCGGCCAGGAGGAGGTCCTTGTTCTGATCGGCCACCTGGCTGTGCAGCATCTGCCGGAGAGAAGGAGCACGGGGTGAGACGGATGAGATGGTGAGAAAGGGAGTAGAGGTAAGGGGCTGGTTGAATGTTGTACCTAGTAAAGAGGCTGGTCGGTGCTTCATGGTCATTGGCCATGAGCCTTGACCTCCGCTGGTCGGTGCTTCATGGTCATTGGTCATGAGTCTTGACCTCCTCTAAAAAGGCCATTGCCGTCTTATGCCAAATCCACAGACCGGACGGCTTCACTGAAGGTAGAGCTGCATCGCACTGGACTCAAACCGGTTAAAAGCATTAGCATACGTCCAACAGGACAGCTTACCGAGGTCAATGGCCAAAGTTCACCACATCATTCCTTGACGAAGGATTATAGCATGCGCTGCGCTGTGTTCAGCTCAGTCTGCGTTTTGACATTGGCTTTCATTCATAATTCGATCATGAGATTAGATCGTTCGTGATTTGATTCGATCAGGACAAAAGCTAAGCTATGCCAAGAATTGTAGGGCTTGCGAATTGGACTTTTTTGGGACGAAGTATAGCGTTGTTTAAAAGGGGGGAGCAACTTTCGAGAACCTTTTTACTATTTTTCTTAGGATGCTTCAAGCATCCTAATGCATCTTACTTCGCCTATGAGGCGCGCAGGGTCCTTTCCAGCCCAAAAGCTGTCATCTTTTTGGTGAACTGCGAATATCGAGCGGCACCTTATTTTCTCAAAGCTGCTCGTGACCTCTGACCCTATTTCGCTACGGCCGAGGACCCAATCCGTCGCTACATAAATTGAACTGTCGCCATATATTTGCAGTCGATAGTCATTCCTTGATAGCCCAAGGCGATCTGGTAGAGACAATGTCAAAATGCATATATATATATGTTACGGCCCGTTTGAAAACCCGGCCCGTATTAATGCTGCCCGGCCCGCATTAATACTGACCGGAGACCTGGCCCGTATTAATACGGGCCGGTCAGCATTAATGCGGGCCGCCTTGCCGGTCGGTATTAATGCGGCCGATTTAGGTGGGCAGTATTAATGCTGCCCACCTTTTATTTCAAAACTTATCCGTCTGCTGCAAAATCAATTACATTAGCATGTCTTTATAGACGGCGGCTTACTGATAAAAGTTGAGCGCCATGTGTAAATATTCGCCAACCCCGCCTCGAACCCACAACCATTCGATTACAAGACCGGAACAGTACCCCGAGACTAGCGAACAGATCGAAAGGCAGTGAATTGGGCAAGCAGTTGAAACTATAGTGCTCGGCAATGATATGGAACAAAACGTGCTCGAGAAAATAGATGCTATTATACGTTATACGTGATTAAAATAGTTCAAAACACCATTTAGAGAAAACAAACGAGGGTTTATCATAATTTTGTAGAGACAACCAGCAATATTCATCTAGACGTTGCCCAGGGTAATAAAAGCAGGTCTAACTAACACATCGCCCAAGGTCACCTCAGGGAGTGCCGACACTGCCGCGCGCCCATTTCTTCCATTGGGCTCATGCCTGACGCCTCCGTGATCTAGACACTCTGTTGGCTGAGTAAAGGCCGATCGCCCACTGGTGGCAGTTCCTGCTCCTGGAACCACCCGCCACAGTGGGGTCACGACAGGAAAAAACAAAAACAAAGAACAAAAAAAAAATTGTTGAGACCATGACCGATGGTCCGTCCCCTTCGCTGGCTCGTCTCTGACTGTCCTATATCCCGCGCTCCCCTCGTGCCTCCCGCCCCAGCCCGCCCGCTCCGCTTATCTCTCTCCCTCCCACCCTCCCTCCCTCTCCCTCGCTCTCTCCGGCATCTGTCTGCCCTCGCCCAACGCCTCTTAGCCGGGGGGCCGCTAAGTTGCCATTGGGCTCATGCCTGACGCCTCCGTGATCTAGACACTCTGTTGGCTGAGTAAAGGCCGATCGCCCACTGGTGGCAGTTCCTGCTCCTGGAACCACCCGCCAAACCCCGCCAAACGGAGCGACCACGCAATAGGCCACGTAGCTAATTGTAAGCTCCGAAGAGCTTCCACAGCCACTCGTAGTGTTCCCTAGAGATCGGGTCCGGAACCATCCGGAGCGGTCTGCCCCCAAGGGCAGGAACCCGAGAGCTGGTCCAGCCTCCCAAGAGCTCACAGCCACTCGCCATGCTCCCTTGAGCTCGCGACAGGAAAACCCCCGTAGCAGTCTGCCCCCGGGGCAAGGAACTCCCAAGCTTAACCAGCCAACTGCAAGTTCCCAATTGAGCCCCCACGGCCACCTATCATACTCCCTTGAGCTGCGCCAGGAAAACGCCCGTAGCAGTCTGCCCCGAGGGCATTAAGCTCCCAAAAGCTCGCGCAGTCAAGTGGAGAGCTCCCGAGAGCTGCCACGGCCACCCGTCATGTTTCCTAGCTCGCGCAGGGGAAAACACCCGAAGCGGCCTGTCCTGAAAGGCAGGAAGCTCCCGAGAGCTTGTTTAGCCAACTTTAAGCTCCCAAGAGCTCTCGCAAATCGCAGCCATCCGTGATGCTCTCTTGCGCTCCCTAGAGCTCGTGGCATGAAACATACGTAGCGGTCTGCCCCCCAAGCAAGATGCTCTCAAGAGCTCGGAGCTCGCACAGCCAACTGTAAGCTCCCAAGAGCTCTCGTCAGTAGCCCTAGAGCAATAAGCTCCCGAGAGCTCGCACGGTTACTCGTCATGCTCAATAGAGCTCCCGATGTGAACACTCTTAGCGGTCTGCCCCCAACGGCAAGAGGCTCCTAAGAGCTCGCACAGCCAACTGTAAGCTCCCAGGAGCTCTCGACACTAGCCCCATAGAGGCTTCCCCCGAGGGCAATAAGCTTCCAAGAGCTCGCACGGCCATCCGTCGGCTCCCAAGAGCTCTCGACAGTAGCACCCGTATCCGTCTGCTCCTAAGGACAATAGGTTCCCGCCGGCTCGAGCAGTCGCTTGGCTTCTAAAGCTTCCAACAGTAGCGCCTATGCGGTCTGCCCCCAAGAGCAATAGCTCTGAAGAGTTTGCGCAGCCACCCGTCCGGCTTCAACGAGCTCTAGACATTGGCAACCATGGCGGTCTGTCCCCAAGGGCAAGAAGCTCTCGCGAGCTCGCGCAGCCATCCTTCAGGCTCCCAATAGCTCTCTACAGTAGCACCCATAGCGGCCTGCCCCCAAGGGCAATGAGCTCCCGAGAGCTCGCACTGTAACCCGTCAAGCTTCCTGGAGGTCGCGACAGAAAACGATCGTAGCAGCTAGCCCCCAGGGCAAAAAGCTCCAAATAGCTCGCCCGGCCACCGGTCAGGCTCCCAAGAACTCTCGACAACAGTGGCCTTGACGGTCTGCACCAAGGGCAGTCGTACCCAATAGCTCGCGCAGCTCCCTTCGTCAGGCTCCCAGGAGCTCTCGACATCAGCGCCCATAACGGCATGTCCCAGGGCAAGAGCACCCAAAAGCTCGCACAGCCACCTGACATGCCCCCAAGAGCTCTCGACAGTAGAGTCACTAACGGTGTGCCCCCGAGGGCTATATGCTCCAAGAGCTCGCACCACCAACTATGATCTCCCAAGAGCTCGCACGGCCACCCGTTATGCTCCCAAGAGCCCTGGACAGTAGCGCACATGCAGCCTGCCCCCAAGGGCAATAAGCTCCCAAGAGCTGGCACAGTCCCCTCGTCAGACTCCCAAGAGCTTCGACTGTAGCGTCCCTAACGGTGTGCCCCCAGGGGCCATAAGCTCCCAAGAGCTCGCACCGTCAACTATGATCTTCCAAGAGCTCGCAAGCCCCCGTCATTCTCCCCCAGGCTCCCGACAGTAGCATCCACGCGGTCTGCCCCCAAGGGCAATGAGCTCCCCAGAGCTTGCACAGCCCCAAGTTGCAGTACAGCCCAAACGCCCGCACCGGTCAGATGACCGTAATAGGTCGCCGGCAGATACAGGTAGTCGGACGGGTCGCTCTGGCGCGTCCACACATACGGAGCTCACACCCGCCGCGGCCCGCGGCCCGGTTGTGAAACGAAAGAATTGCTGGCACGCAGCCCGCCGAAAAAGGCAGCGCGTTACGCCCTCCTCGTCAACCCAGCGCCGGTCCCCGCGCCGCCGCGACACGTGCGAACCGTCGCAAACTGCCCGCAGATGGCCGAGCCGTTCGCGCCTACCCCCCCCCCCCTGCGAGTGACGAGGGAGGGGGGTGGCGAGCGCCCCGGCGTGTGCGCCGCCGCGCTACTCGAGCCGGCCAAGCTGCGCCTAAGGGCAATAAGCTTCCAAAGAGCTCGTACGGCTGCCGTCGGTCCCAAAGGCAAAGCTCTCAAGAGCTCGTACAGCCTCGGTCGCTCCAAGGGCAATAAGCTCCCAAGAGCTCGTACAGCTACCGTCGCCCCAAGGGGAGTAAGCTGGCCCCAAGGGCAATAAGCTCCCACGAGCTCATACAGCCGTCGTCGCCACTAGGTGCAATAAGCTCCCAAGAGCTCGTACCGCCTCAGTCGCCCCCAAGGGCAATAGGGCTACCGTCACCCCCAAGGGCAGCAAGCGCTAAGCTACCAAGAACACGTACAGCTACCGTCGCCCCCAAAGGCAGAAAACTCTCCCCCAGGGGCAATAAGCTCCCAAGAGCTCGTACAGCCATCGTCGCCCCAAGGCCAAAGCTCCCAAGAGCTTGCGCAGCCATCGTCACCCCAAGGGCAAAGCTCACATGAGCTCGTACAGCGACCGTCGCCTCCAAGGGCAGCAAGCTCGCTCCCAGGGCAATAAGCTCCCAAGAGCTCGAACGGCCGTCGTCGCCCTCAAAGGCAAGCTTCAAGAGTTCGGACTTGTGCTGAAGCCTTCGAGTGCAGGCAGCAAGCTCGCCCCCAAGGGCAATAAGCTTCCAAGAGCTCATACAGCCATCCATCGTCGCCCCCAAGGGCGGTGAGCTCCTAAGAGCTCATACGGCTACTGTCGCCTTCGAGGGCAGCAAGCTCGCCCCTAAGAGCAAAAAGCTCCTAACAGCCCGCACAGCCAACGTCGCCCTCAAGGGCAAGAAGCACCCAAAAGCTACCGTCGCCCCCCAGGGGCAG